TATAAATATAGAATTTATATAAGATGCACTACCCCACAACAAAATGCCGTACGATAAGATGCTGTGAAAATAACTAAAGTAAACAAGTCTGGCATTGTCGATGTCTGTTAGCTTTCTAAGCTTCCTAACCGCAAAAACAGCGGAGCGAATGTCCATATCAGATGATTAATGGTTCGAATAAATTGCATTTGATTGAGTCGAATATTAATAAATATAACTTTATTCTTCATGACTATTCTTTTTCACGAATTTTAAATGATTTGGAAAAATAAATAAAAAATAAGAAAACCTAATAATATATCGATATTTATCGAATGTTTTTAAAAAAAGATAAATAGGAATATATTTTTTTTTTACTTGCCCATCCCTATCACACTTCATCACAGTATGGGCAAAAAATATTGATAGATAAAAATATCGATACTTTTCCAAATAAATATCGATATATATCGTCGATATTTTTATTCCCGATATAAAGATATTCGATATTTATTTTCGGCTATCGAATTCGTGTCAATTTCGATATATTTTTAACGCAACTCTGGTTTGGTGTCTATTACATTAATTGCGTCTATGGGAGATGATTTTATTCTTTACCCTAGTTTATTCTTTACCCTTTGGACGTTCTTTGCAAAATAAACTTAAATAGAGAATATAGGCCGTGGAGGTTAGCATATACCTATCGGTTCATAGGACATAAAAAAATAGTTCTCTCACGTATCTAATCTACTATATCCTTTCTAAAACACTAAAGGTTTTACTACAAAAGAAATAAATGGCTCGGATGTTGTGATGATCACGGCTCCTATTGTTGCCAACAAGTTTTCAGCATATTACCTGGCAAAATGTAATTCGTGCAGTTTTGTTAAACGTGATGTACTGAGCCTTTACCGGTCAGTATTTTTAGGTTGTTGACGCTAACTAATTTCTCAATTTAATCTTTTACGATATTGTTCACTGAATGTGGCAGCGATAAGACTTATAAAAATGATGTACAAAAATTGGTTAATTAAAGAACATAAAGAACAATGCCCACTTCCCATACATTTAAAAACCTGATAATGAAAGTGTATGTATAGTTACGAGGTATAGCAGAAAGACTACCTTTAAGTTAGTAAATTAATATCATATAGTCATTTTTACGATTGCTGGTCTACGAAGTCCAAAAATTATTAAAAAATGTTACTTTTTAGGTTAGGATTTGCAGTTACCTAATATAACGAAATAAATGTGCTAGAACTAACTATTTACGCTCAAGTTTATTCTAAAATAATAATATTAGCCTATCTAAGATCTAAAACGTCTTTTTTTATTGTGAATTCCTAGAAACCGACTGCCCTTACGTCACTGCTTAGACTCGATTATTGTCACTATAAATTGAGTGAAGAGCATTATCCGCTATTTCAAAAAGTTACTTAAAAAACGTAAGTTAAAAGTGATCATTTATCTGCCCTACACATTTTATTGGCCTGCACTACAATACATAATAATCGATAATTATAATACCTGATGAATAAAACGAGGGAAAAAATAAAACACTATGTTACAGTGGAATGCTTTATTAATTATCATCATCTTCACTTAAATGTCTTATAACTATGGTATCCAGAAATTCTGCTATAACAGAGATATTTTCTTGATAGTTCATCCAAAGTACCACACTAGTCATAACATGAGTGCAACATCCTATGGTTCGACTAACTAAACAATTACAACAGTATTCGACTATACTAGCTCTGCCAGACACATTATTTTCTATTAAAATGTAGACATAATATAAGCAATATTATATTATATATTAAACATAATATAAACAATATTATCATTTCTTTAAATGTGCCAGGACTTAATTTTTCCTCTTATTAGTGTTATGTCACCACTTCCACTCAGATTATTCCTAGAAAAACTACCGTATCCCTACATATTTCTATTCTATATGATCCATGAAAGCGAATATGTTTGCCATAATAGGATTTGGCTTGCCTTATTTAGTACCTAACGCAAATAGTATAAGTTCACTAATAACTTAATCTCAGAAACATAAAAAATAAATTATCTTCAGTAGTAGAAACACCACAAACTTCAGCAACATACCTAATATGTGTGGCAGCACTCTTACAACTCATCCAGCATGAATGGCATATTCTATCAGATGATGATATCTACAAAAGAAGTATATAAAGCAATAATTATTATTCATCTTAAAAATAAATTTAAAAAAATCGATTATTTATTATCTGTGGTTAAAATTATTAAAGCATCAGTCAATTAATAACAGATACAATAATTTACATCTAAAATACAAAAGAGAAATAATCTAGAGTAATAGTATCAAGTTTTATACTGGCAAATGATTAACAATGTATATGTGATGCATATGTATTTACAAGTAACATGAATATGTGATGTTGTGAACTTGTTTGTATAATAGCATTTATCTGTCTGCTTTTCTGAAGGATTATCAAAAACTGTTCTTTGGCCTGGTTGAGATAATCCTGAAGCTTGAGCAACATCACAGCTTGTTAATTCCTGGTTTATTATTCTCATAAAGAGTTCATTACAAGATTTACAAATGTAATCTTCCTCAGTAATCTTAAATAAAAAAACATACATTGAGTTTATAATACATATTTTGGATATATAGATCTTTTGAACATTTGTTTGTGTTATGTCACAGGTATATTTTATAGGAGCTTTGTTAGTTTGATTAGGATATGATTGACATTTTTAGACTGAAAATAATAAACATAAATACTCACAATTACTGGCGAATACCGATGAGTATGAGTCACTCGCAGAACTGTCAAATGTCAAAAAAATCCATTTACGTCAGCCGTGCGAACTTTATTACATGCTGCATTAATAATTTATTATTTTATTTTTAATAAATCTGTACTACTAATAAGATTGATCTTAATTTTTATACGAATACTGTCAATTACGTGCTTACTCACTTCTCTAAAACGTAAAATCACGTACAAAACTCGAATAACGAAAAACTCAAAAGTTGAATATAGTCTACTAGGTAGTGTTAGAAATGGAACGTCCTATGCAAAGGATTGTTAAGGTGCGTTCAAAACATGGTAATATGTTTACCCTTGAAGTAAAATAAGCGTAAAGAAATATCAAAAAATATTTTTTCCCCGACCTTCTTTTAACATTGTGATTAGTGTAATTACTATAAAATGAAATTAGCTAAATTTTAATATTTATTTCACCTCTATACACAATCAGGTCAAAAATGGGCATTGTTCTTTGTTTTATTCCAGATATTCAATTCTGACGCTATAACTTTCTTTGGATAGGTTCCACTGTCGATCGCAGCCTAAGTTCAGTTTCGAACCTCTCCATCTAAGAAGACCTTAAGTCGTGTCATCCCCGCCCCCTACTTGTTATCATAGTCGAATTGTTCATCTCTCTTTAGCAGTGGTCGCAGATGATATTATCGGTTCATCGATCTGCACCATCTACCTTATTATCCTGAGTCCACGGGTCAGACCTCTTTCAACGAAGCTGTAAAAGCAATAATACTACAAACAAATCCAAATATTCAGGCAATAGTATAGTCAGTCTTGATATTAGCCTCCCCTTAGAAGGAAACCGGAAGGTTCCACCTTAATCAGAAAAAAATACTGACTGTTACTGATTCATAGGAATTTATGTATCTATTTTGAGACTGCAACATCTCCGGCGCTGCGAGAACAGCCTCTACGCCCTAGTGTAACAAAACGCACGCATTCGTCCCCTAGGTAGGCTCCGCAGCTTTGGCTTAATGGCGACCAGCCTCGGCCGCTTCAGCTCGTCCCGTACCTATAGTTTGTTACAGCCGGCGGAGGCTGCGCTCCCAAGACTAAAAGACACTAGTAATAGGACAGGCTGGTACCAGGAGGAGTTGAGGTCAATCAATTTGGTTCTTTAACATAAGTTGAATCTAACCTATTTAATTTGAAGACTAAAGGGGAAACACAAGGAATATCAGTAAAAAAAGTAAAAATAGAATGGAAAAAAAAGAAAAATAGTAGTGATGTGGTATAGGCAAAAGTTCAAATCTGATTAATATAACGAACAAATCACCGTTCAAAATATTAAAATATATCAAAATTCTCTAGTATTTCATACTTTTTTTTTCAAAAACTACGCGTCTCCGCATTTTGAACTTTTGCGTGTGTGTTTACAATAATATAACGTGTGTGCATAAAATATCAACCCCCAACTCGACGAACGTCAATGCAAAACTGAGCCAAAAGTTAAGTTATATTTTATTTACCTTAACAATACAGGGCTTTTTTGGGGCTTTTGAAATAGCATATAGGGTTATTTAGGGCTACTTCTTGATTAAATTTTAGGGCCATTTTTTTAGTAGTTGGCAGCACTGAGTATGGTCTGTAAAGAAAATGAATTACTTTATCTATGATCTATGGTATGACTGCAATTGTGTTACTAGCTTGAGCGATGGACATAATTTTATCAGGGTTTAACAGTCTTTTTTAAATTACCTTCCGTTCCTAATTCTTAGCTACGCCCATAATTGCGCTAAAACAGTATTGTTACAATGGATAAAAGAAAATTATCAACTGCCGGAGACAGCCTTTACCAAATATTACAACTTCCTAAAACCGCAACGCCAGATGATGTCAAGAAAAGCTATCGCAAATTGGCATTAAAATACCACCCTGATAAAAATCCTAATAATCCTGAAGCAGCTGACAAATTTAAAGAAGTCAATCGTGCTCATACAATTTTAAGCGATGCTACTAAGAGAAACATTTATGACAATTATGGATCACTTGGACTATACATAGCGGAACAATTCGGCGAAGAAAACGTCAACGCCTATTTCGTTGTGACAAGCACTTGGTGCAAAGCATTATTTTTCGTATGCGGCATATTAACAGGATGCTACTTCTGTTGCTGCTTATGCTGTTGCTGTAATTGCTGCTGTGGAAAGTGCAAACCGCGCCCACCCGAAGAATCTGGAGATTATCATACTCTTGAGAGAGATGACTCGGACGGAGTTCAGGCCGTTACAGTTCAACCAGGTGGAGAGGGACGTCCCGGCGGAGAACAAGCGCCGCCTATTGCCATGCCGGCACCACCACCTAATGCTTCTGAGAACACAGGCCTCAACACAGGTGGGGTGAATTATGGAATATCACATTAACACAGTCATTCTCAACATAGGTCTATTATTGTCATTACATAATGTTTAAAAACAGATTACAATTTCTTAATACATGCTATATATACATTTTTAAGATAGTTATGATTGTGCTTAAAAATTGTAGTTGGTTATTTATTCACCTAATATCAAGAAAAATTATGTCATAAAACTGATACATCTTGCAGTATTCTACTTGTGTACTTAGTGATGTTATTTTAACATACACATGTTTTTTTCCTTGTTATTTACATCCTTTTAATGTTAATTAGGCCTATAGTATTATCTAATCCGCAGATTACAAAAATGTATACTTGCTCATGTTTCCCTGCCACGTACATTTTGAATATATGTTATAACAGCTCCTTAATATTTATTATTACACCAAGCATAGCTGTAAGAAACTTTTCTTATGAGCTTGAATGAATTTGTTTTGTAGCACAGAATGAATGTTACACATATCAATGTGTAACATGTAATCTACGTTTTTTGACTAAAAATAGAGGCCTAGAATAATAAAGCTCTCTTTATAATTTAAAACTTATACACAGTTCTTTGAAAATTGTGTGATCAATAAATATCTTTCAGAATTATTATATAACTTCAATTTAGTCTCCTCTATTGAATGTTATAATAAAAAGTGGTATCTTTTTTTAACACAAATCTAGTGTTTCATATTTTTCAGTTAATTAAAAAATATATTTAATTAAATTATTGTTGCACATTACTTGTTCAGTAAGTAAAACTGTCAGTAAGTCAAAATGCTTTTTAATTAATCTTTAAATTTTTTCACTACTTAAGCTAGGATATTTGACCTGGGGCTATTTGATATTGAGGCCTCAAATTGAATGGAATTTTGAAGCTAAGAGTGTTTATAACTCCTTACACTTACTAGTTTTAATAAAATAGTCCCAACATATAGTTGTCTTATGTACACTTTCTACTTAAATTATGCATTGAGATCACTTACAAATATTTATTGTAATGTCTCTCTTTGTAAAACTCACAATTTTTTTAGTTTTAATTGTATGAGAACAATTATGAAAATTATTTCTAATTTTTATAAAAATTTTTTTGCTGATAAATCATATGATATAAAATGTATCAAATAAACAAAATCATTATGTCATTAGCAAAAATACCAGTATTATGTTTATCAATATAAATATAGTAAGCCTTAAACATTGCTCATTTCGTTTGCTTTCTTTTCAAATTTAAAAACATTCCAAGTTTGTTGATTAAACCAATATTTTTGCAATAAGGTAATTTTTTGGTGAAAAGTAGTTAAGAGGTTTTACACCCCATTGCTTTTATCTATGTTATTATGCATGCAAATTTCAAGCAACTTTAGATACAATACAATGTTTCGATTAGAATAAAGTAAGCAAATTTAATTTCAATTAGAATAATTTTTAAAATATTCTATATTTAAATTGTTGAAACTTCATAATGGTTCTCAGTTGTTCTGAGAGTATTTCATTGTTTATACACACATTTTTGTGTAGTTATATTGTCATACAATTAATAGCAAATGGATTTAAATAAAAATTTTGTACATAACAAAATGTTAGCAGCTTATTTAGTGAAAGGAGAAATATTTAATCCCGGCATGTATAATGAAATTTTATGTAAGATTTTAATAAAAAAATATTTCTGCATATGTAAGTAAAATATGCAGTAATTTCTTTTTAATTTTCTTTTGAATTTATTTTGTATTATATCTAGAGTTACACTTTCTAACTTTAAGTTACCTAGATGACAAACCGATAAGATGTTGGATTTGATTACTTAATTTTTAACATTACCATAACTTATTATAGTAAACAAATTGTTAAGATTGTAACCAGGTGAAAATTGTTTTTATATAAAATTAGTTTAGAACAACAGTCCAATTGTATAGCTCAATCTCCAATTATTGTTTGATTATCTTTCTAAAACAAATATCAATTCCTATCTGATTTTTGTTAAATTGTCTTCTTGATTAGATTATGTTATATCAAAAAATATTATAGCCATAGTTAGCTCTATAATTTAATAAGAGGGTTTAGTTTGTTAGTGTATAATATGTAGTAAACTATGAATTTTGTATTATTTGTAAGATTTAATTTTTAAATACGCCTGGGATTTATGGAAACAATTGAAAATTACACAAATTATAAATATTGTATTTTTGCACATTGAAATGTGTTCCGTTATGTAGACCATAATTATGATATTTTTTTTGAAATTATAGCTCTTTTTGCAGCTCAATTATAAAACAGCTGCCATAACTTTTTTGAATGTGTAAGCAAGTTCACAAATGCTACATAAATTTCTATAATATCTAATAGCCTGTGTGTTTTCTTTAGACTTTTGACGTTCTGCTAAAGTATATTGTTGATAAAACAGACGGTAATGACTGAATATTGGAAGTTTCTTTCCTTATGGATAGTCATAACACATTTGACATGTTCTTTTGTGTCATGATACTAGTCAATGAGTATTTATATAATGACAAAGTGTTAAATAAAATGTTAAAATGTAATTACACTTCATAAATTTCAATCAAATAAATATCTACATCAAAAATAATTATCTGTTATTAATTTTCCAGTGCCTTTTACTTGATTTTTCTATTGTTTACTAATCCATATTTTAATTTTATTCCTCTCTTATTTACAGGAAGCAGTATTCCAAAATACACATGAAGTAATAACAACTAAGTACCCTATCATATTAGTAAGAGAAAAGAAGAACTGACTCTTATGTTCACCACCATAATTTACAAATGTAAGCCTAATATAGTTTTGTTTTTATGTAATATTTTTTGTATAGCAAATTATAATATTTTGCTATAATTTTTTTTCTGTGCATCTGCTGATGAAAACTACCATTTTCAAGAAATTGATGAAGATTCAATTTTATTGACAAAAACTGAAAAACATGTTGTTGGCATTTTTTTATTTAATTTTATTTTGACTATATCACACTACAAATTGAGAGCTACCCATAAAAATAGCATTTTAATCCAAAAGCTACTATGCTATATACTTAAAAAATTTCACCAGTATTATCTTTGTTATTTTTTATCTCTTCTTTAGAACTTCTCATTTAGAACTGTAGCCCAATTTCTTATGATTTAGATTTTTAGTAATGCAATTGTATCAATGCCAAGTCTTACTGAATAGAAATTGAAGAAGAAATAGAATTGTTAAGAAATAAATGTAGTACTGTTTCATATAATGTAATGTTTATTGCGATCATTGTTAATAAAAAAATGTAGATCAATGTTTATAGGGCCCCTAATTTAGTTTATGTTGTAGGAGTAACTTTATTAAGAGATTATTAACTTATAACAGCTTGCAATAGTTTATCTGTTTCCACAGTTTGTCACTCTCATAAAATGCGAAACTTGTACAGAAATAAGAACAAAAGTCTTATTTAATAATAATAGTAAAAAACCTAGTACAGGCCATTCATTCTAAAGTTACTTTACAATCCATTCATTTTGAGGTGTGTTGCTATTACAACCAATAATTAATAAGTTTGAAATTTTTTAAGTGTAACAAAAATAGTGGAAAGTGGTTAGGTTACCTACTTGTTTAAACTTTTATTTTAATGAACCTGTTGATGGTATTGTTTACATTTCATTGGTCAATGGAAATTAAAATATATGCAATATATTGAATAAAATTCTGATTTAAAAAAATTGTAGTTTTGGCTGTTAAAAGGAGAAAGTTTTTAAATACATGGCTTGGTACATCTTTATTATAATATAATAGTTTGTATATTCCCTAACATGATTACTTGTTAATAAAATATTATATCAAAAAAATGTTAGTACAGTAATAAATTATGAATATCACAATCGAGAATATTTTATCTACCCACTAAATAAGCAAGAGGTTTTAAATTTGTTTTTTGTATCGAGTTCAGTTAAGCTTCCATGTAGTCTCATATTAATTTAATTGGCATTGGACCTTGGACGTAGGTGATACTTTATGGAACTCTTCAAAGTCAAATAGAAAATGTATGTAATGAATAGGGTTGCCAACCATACTTTATAATAACATATCCTACTTTATTATTGGTAAATATACTTTATACTTTTACATAAATATACAGTATGTAAAAATACTCTATTTTCAATTTTTACAGTGATGCATAAAACAAAACACTATGTATGTACCCTCTAAGGATAATTACTAAACTTTTTTCGATACTTCTAAGTTCAAACAGAACACTTTCAACTATGCTTTTACTTTATTTTTCTCAAAGACTTGGCAACCCTAGTAGTGAGTGAGACATTTATGCCCGGTATCTAAAACACTGATCATCGTAGATGTCAACAAATCTACAAAAGGATGGTTAAACTCTTTGAACTGATCATTCTGATCATAAGAAGATCATTCTGGTCAATCCGGAGAGTTTAACAATCCTTTTGGCAACTAAAATGTAATTTGAAAAGCCATTTGACAGCTGATTAGTTAACATCTACAATGATCAGTGTTTCAGAAACCGGGTGTTAAAGTCGGTTTTGTTTTTTTGCTAATAAATATGTACTTGCAAAAGTGTAATGATGAGATAGATAATATCCCCATTTCATATTTATGACCCCCCTTTTTTGATGCCGTGGATATCTATCATCAAATATCTCTGTTTTTTATTGATTAAACCTATAAACTACAATGATGAAACACACCGGCTTTTCCTGGTTTCGAGTATATCTGGAATTCTGAATAATGTCTGTGGCCACAAACAATTGTGGATCTGTTTGATTTTCCATGTGTTATGTATTTACGTGCAGCGCCTCGAGAATATAGAATAATATTATGTCACAGTTATTAATGTTAATAATTAGAATAAAAAATGTGTATCTAATATCACGTGTTTCATCTAATAAATCATTTAGCTGTCGTACAGCAATAACCCAAAAAATTGAGCTTATGAAAATTTAATTTTTCAGGATTTTACCTGTTGTAATTTAAATTTAGAACGATCACAATGATTATTTAGTTCTCACAGACAAGTATGCATTAGGCTTGAAAGTTTCCTTAAACTGCAGAAATCTTCCATCCTCCCCATCATCTTTAGTTGGTGCTTTGGGTAAATTGTACTTTGGGTTTATGTTAAATAACAATAAACAACTTTTTTAATTAATTTATGGCAAACATCAACACTTATTGAATTTAAATTAAATCAAGTAGCTGTTAGTTACCAATAAAATAAAATTAATATTTGTTGTTATTTTAAATCAGTCACTAAATAATAAAATCGGTTTCCTAGTAAACTAAAACTGCCCTGCGTGTCTCAAAAGGCGCCATCAAAATTTAATTTTATGTCAAAATTGTTAACTGCACTTGATATTTAGCGCCCCTTGCTTACTTGCTAGGGGTAACCTAGGCCGGTGCTGTTGGGTGCGTTTACCATAGGATGGGGCTCCCGAAGAACCGCTTCCCCTTCCACTTCCCCATCCCATTCTCATTTTTCTAATGTGAACATAACTAATTATGTGTAATATTTGCCTGCAATAGCTTTGCAGATCGACGATTCGAAGAATCACTTTGATACTACTTACGAGTAGTTTGCATAACTGTAGATTCTGTAGGTGTGTTGAACAACATGCGAGAAAGACGGTGGTAGGGCCATGCAGCAGCCTCGGCTGTTGCACGAATGGGCAGGCCCGTCCGGGTAAGTACCACGACCTCACAGAAGACCGGCGTAAAGTGGAAGTATGACAAATACTTTCGCGTTTCGTCTGGTGAGTTAGGTAGCCGGAGCCCAATTTTCAAAAGGTTGTCAACGCATCTGTAACCCTCGGGTGTGGCAGATGTCCATGGGCGGCGGTATTCACTTAACATCAGGTGAACCGTCTGCTCGTTTGACAACTTTTCGCATAAAAAAAAAAGATGCAAGTGTAGGACATTATGGTAAAGGTTAATTGCATTTTGCTACAGAGTTCGTTAGAGTATGGAGTTGGTCCGATATGAACGCGGCTCTGACCCCAACTTTTCGAACTGAGTGATAGAAGATATCATATCTTGGAGTCGAAAGTGTCCTCAAGTTATATGACTTTATCTCACATGGGATCGGTTGAGTCTATATGGGCAAGAGCGGGTATGTATATATTAACGTATTTTCCTTATTTGCGAAACCAGTGACCGAACCGATTGGCGAGCGCTTTGGCGACGAACAGTCATTTTGTCAATTATTTGTTAGAATAGAATTTCCAGGTTACAGTGTTATAATATGTTTAGCTTGTGCGCTTTCCCGTCTGTTAGTATTCATTTTACCATATAAGAAAAGCTTAAAAGTGCATAATAGTGGTGTTTACTTTATAATAAAGGTTTACAAGCTTAGATGAAAAGAGACTACCTATATATATAGTTTTTAAGCTGCTCAATTCATTTAAAACGTTAGTGTTACCTTATGGTGATTGTAGTCGTGCCGTCGTTTGGTGTTCGATATTTTTGGCTTAAATCTGATTAAGTATTTTAACTAAGTAATTGAATTGTTTTGTTCCTACGGGAGACTTTAGCGGTATTTTTTTGCTAGTACGAGCCCCTTGCGTAAATGAAAGCAGAATGTATACATGAAATTAGAATCTATAACCGTATATTGCTTAATCGTGCAAGTTCTATGAATGCATAGCTCCTGCTTACCGTAGAATTTTTAATAATTTCCAAATTGATTAAAGTTACCGACTTTAGTATATACCTATAGGTAAGGTGTTTTTACCAAAGCCCAAAAGTCACCTCATCTGTCTGATTCGCACGGCGGAGTATTAATAATGTGATTTTTTGCATATTTTGTAGCTGTAGGTGTTTTGTACCTTGATCGGAGAAATTCTCTTTCGATTTCAGCGGGAAACGGTTATCAATTTCAGGAGCACCCTACTGTTCACTGGTGTCCATCACAAATCGTAAGTTTTTCTCATAAAAGTAATATAAAATGATTTTAATCAAAATATATAATCGGGTCAGTAGAAAGATTGATCCAAAAGCCAGGAATTTATTTGGAGCGTTGATCGAACGTGTTGTGATAGTGAGACATACCAGCCCTATTTATGGTTGATTGTTAATGCTTCATTGATTTCGTAAAGGAATTGGCACCACTTCACTCAGTCGTGCATAAAACGAGCCGTAGTAAAACGGTTGGTTCATTTTGAAACAACCAGGTCTATAGATGTTTCTGGATTTTATCGTATCGATTCATCGCCTATGATAACGTCATAAAATGCGGAGAGCCTACTTCAATTTTCTAATTTCAATTTCTGAAGCGACACTATCGTCCTAACGAGAAAGTTCATATCTCGTGAACTATTTTTTTCTATCCATTCTGCAATGTCTTTTGAGTCTCTCAAACGTAGTTCGCCTGTTATTTTTAATACGATTTTACACTGCTAGGGCTTTTGCTACCGTAAAAGTCACCAAAGACTGTCTTTTTATTTATTCATCTCTCAAACTTCTTTTGCTACACGTGTTGGCAACACTAAAGCAAGTCATTCCTTGAGGTTGTTGGCAATACTAAAAGAAGTGTCATTCTGTGGGGTATAAATGAAGCTGGAAGAAGCATTTCGTGGCCTTCATCGTGATCTTCGTCTTTCTCTGGCTGTCAACAAGAAGTATACGTGATAGTGCTGCCCAATCGGTATCAGAAATTAAATTGTTAGAGTGGTGTTTCATTAGTATTATTAAGGTGATAAAATAAGTAATTATACCAGTGTTATTGATGTGCAAAGTGAAACTACGGTGATTTTGTAAAAGTATTTATATTTCTACCTTCTTAGCTCGATAAAGCAAAGTACAGCTAACACACGTTAGACGGTTTCTTCGGAAAGATTATCCTGTATAAAAGCTGTAAAATCTTTCAAACGATTCATCCGGCAATAAAGAAAAAGAAATCGCCTGAAGATGACATACCTACATCCACTTTTGAATGAACCATGATAATTAGATTTTTAAAATAAATTATACTGTAATATTAATTATAATTAATAAGGAACGGACACTAGTATCATACAAAAAATTTTTTTCGCAATATGTACTTTTTTTATTAAATGCTGGTGAATACATAATAGTAACATATTTTATTGTGAGGTATCTAAATATAATCCCTACTAATATTATAAATGTGAATGTACCGTAAGTTTGTTTGTTACGCTTTCACGCCAAAACTACTCAACCGAATGGGTATCATGAAACTTTTTACACATATTCTTAGGGGTATTAAAAAGGACGTAGGATTCTTTTTATTAAATAGAAAATATTTAAAAAAAGTTTTTATTCCAGGGCTTCAACGCGAGCGAAGCCGCAAGCAAAAGCTAGTATGTTTATAAATTGTTGTCATTATACATAGTACCTAAAGGACCGAGCTTTGCTCGGTTCTTAAAAAAAATAAAAATAAAGAAAATGATCTGGTATAGAAAAAAAAGTAAAAAAATAAGTTTTTTTTTTTTATTAACTGATGTTTTTGCTTTCAGTCCCGAGACTATTAAAGCTTCATCTGACTCAGAACCGGTGGGCTAGCCAGAACCCACGGGTTTGGGCCCTCCGCTGTGGGTAGGGCCGCGCATGTGCTCATGCGTGCGTTTAACTACGACATGTCATCTAAGGGCCATCGAAGTTGCGGTGCGGACCGAGACCTCGATGGCCGTCGACTGTGTTTTTAGCTAATCGGTGGCTGGGGGCGGTGAGAACCGCCCTGGAATGCGGGTGTACCTTGTGTACGCGTTGTGTTGGTCTCGCCGTGCTCGGAGGCGAGGGCGAACTATTGTGTTTGTTGTTACACTAGCTGTGGGTGTAGTGTTATCCGGCGGGACCCCCGGCGGTGGGTCCGGCGTATCTAAGTCCCCTTCCTCGACCGGGTCGATGAGGACGTTTCGCGGGCGACGCTTGTTGACGTTCGCGTTTGTGTCGGGTTGGTAATTTGCTGCGCTTACCACCAGAGGGTTGGGATGGGATGTTCGGCTCTATCGAAGAAGCGTTTGGTCAGGTCTTTAAAATAATCGCGAATCGTCGGGAGTCTGCAATCGCTGTGCAGATCGACGTTGCGTTGATACCACTGCGCACCGGTTGCACGGCGGATGAACTTATTTTGTACTATTTGCAGCTTGTACAAGCGAGTTGGGTGCGTGTGGACGAAGATCATGCATGCGTAGGACATAATAGGTCGTACGCAGGTCTTATATAATAATAATTTGTGCCTTAAGGGCATTTTACTTTTAGCGTTAGTTAAATTGTGTAGCCGGCCGGAGACGAATGCGGCTCTATTACGAACGTTATTAATGTGCGTAGTAAATGACATACGCGAGTCGAAAGTGACTCCTAAGTATTTGACCTTTTTCTCCCAGGGGAGCGGTTGGCCATTAAGGGATATTTGCCCCAACTTTCTGCATTGGCGAGGACCATTATAAAGATGTGACGGGTAGGTACTTCGTGTGAAGTGAATCGCCACACTGTTTTCGGGATTTATTTCTATTCTCCATTTGCGGAACCAATCGCCGAGGCGGTCGGTGGCGCTTTGGAGTCGAGTGGTTAGTATTCTAAGGTTGCAGTCTGAATAAAAGAGCGCGGTGTCATCCGTGAAAAGCGCGAGACTGACGTGGCGGTCTTTCGGTATGTCGCTCGTGTAGAGCGTAAAGAGCAAAGGTGAGAGGCAGGAGCCTTGTGGTATGGCGGCCGTGAGGCGGCGGCTTGTGGAGAGGGTGCCCTCGACTCGATATCGAAAAGAGCGATTCAACAAAAAGGCCCGGATGGTGTGTACGAGCCTATCTGGCACTTTGAGTGGGTATAGCTTGTAAAGTAAGCCGTTGTGCCAGACCTTGTCGAATGCCTTTGCGACATCGAAGAAGTAGAAGAAGAGCCCCTGTACTGATATGTTTCGGGTGGTTTAGGCCTTTTAGGATGTTCTCCGTTAGGCGGTATAACTGGTCGGGACAAGAGTGTCTAGCTCGAAAGCCGAATTGTTCCGTCGACAGAAGGCCGTTGGAAAATACGTGCTCTTTGAGCCCGTTTAATAAGAGCCGCTCGTAGAGCTTCCACAGGCAACTGAGGAGGCTACGTTATAATCGCGAAGAAATTCCGCGATTTCGTCCCTTTGACCCTTTATGCCGTTTGCGTTGAAATACGAAACAACCAGAGCCCGAGGTTTTGTTCTACCTGCGGTTGTACTTCCCATTGAGGTGTTTTTATGGGTCTAATTAACGACGCGGCGGAGCGCGGTTTTATTGCGCGGACTATTGTGTCTTTTATGGTTGGCTCGTAAAAACCCTGGCGCAATTACCTGCGTGGCCACCTGGGGTTTCGCCCAGGCGTTTGTGACGGGTACGGGTGCGGGAACGTATTTTACGGGCGCGGGTTTGGGCAACGTAGATTTCGCGGGAGATTTTCTCGCGGGAGTTTTCGGGGCCTTAGCGCAGCCTCTATAACTAGCCGGGTGGCCGGTAGCGTGACAGTTTACGCAGTCCGGTGGATCTGCGCAATCTTTCGGCCTCGTGCACTCGGTTGTGCCGTGGTCACCGGTGCATTTGACGCACCTTGAGTGAGCAAAGCAATTATTGGCCGTGTGGCCAAAATGTTGCACAGTTGTGGCACTGTGCCACAACACCTGATTTGCGCGGGGGCTCGATGACTAAGTCACTGAGCCCACAGACCCTCTTTAAGTTGAAGATGGCCTTACCTTCCGGGGTAGGGTCAAGTTCAACCATTACCATGTCCATAGGGACACGGGTGCGAGGGTGCCTGAGGTGACGCACGGCGTGAAAAGGGTATCCCTGAGTGCGGATGTCAACCTTAGCCCTATCGACATCCGACTCTTTCGGGACGCCCTTAATTACAACCCGAAGTTTTCTATCTTCGGGCAGTGAGTAGGTGTGGAAACCTACCTTAGCTTCGCGTAAGTATTTCGTGACGTGGCGGAAATCGTCCGTAGAATCGAGGTATACGCGGATACCCATATGTGTATTCTTGGACCGGGGGTCTCGGATGTTATGGCGTTCGAACCATGGACATATTTGGTGCCACTTTGCCTTTTCTTGAATTATTATTGGCGGCGGTGGCTTGATTTTTCGCTCGGAGGCAAATGTCGGTTCCGACTGGGCAGTCGCGGCTGCCTTTTTGGCGGGCGTCGCGGTGGGACGGTTTGACGGGGCGGCCTCGCTTTCGGGGTCGCTGTCAGTAGCGGGGCGTTTCTTGCCCTTTTTGCGCGATTTGACGACGGTGAAGCCGGTGGCGTTCGCGTTGTTCGCGGGGGTCGTTTCGATCTCCATGTCTGAGCCGCCGTCCGATTGTGAGTCGGGTACGACGGAGCGAAAAGAGGTCGGGTTCGGTTGCACGGAAGGCGCTACGGGCGAGTTCGCGTTAGCGGATGCCGACGCGACGGGGGCTTCTAAGGTCGCGGAGGGCGACGGGGTAACGGGCGCAGACGGCGCGGGCAATGGCGGCGACGCGAGTTCAGCTACTTGCCTATGCTCGGCTTTATAGGCAAGAAAACGTTCCCATATAGCGGGGCATTCCTTGCGTACGAACTCCTCGAAAAGGGAGCCCATCGCGGCGTAAGTGCCTTTGGGGCTTGTAGCCCCGCCGGCGTGTGTGAGCTAAATAAGCCTCCCCACCTTGCGGCAGGGAGGAGTGTGCCTAAAAATAACAACTAATTTGCCTGCGCTTTAGGTGCGCTAGGGTGGGTACCTAGCTGTCGCCTATTGCAACAAGCACACAGTTAATCAATGAAACAATGCCGCCTCTGGGGCGAGAAGTGTGTGTAGGATTCTACTTACAAAACAGGAACCTGCCTACGAGCACAACACTACACTAACACTAAACTACTGCACTATTTGCACAAGATTTAAATTGCAACCGAGGTTGCGAGTGGCGTCTAATTCGGGTGGCATGTGCCCTCCGTCTTAGAGAGACGTCCCTTCCGTACGAGAGCACGAAGCGGAATCAAAAAAATAAGTGTGTAAATGATCGTGATACGAACCGCGGCTGTCTGTTTTGGGGCAGCCCGATTACCAACCGAGCTATTATAACATTTTTTTTTGCGGCGAAATTTACTGTCATATTCGATTGATATTTTTCATTCCCTGAAATAGGGATAAAAGGACATTTTCTAAAAATGAAACCTAGCTAGATCGATTTTTCGCCCCAGATTCTACGCACATACTAAATTTCATGAAAATCGCTGGAGCCGTTTCCGAGATTCCGATTATGTATATATATATATATATGTATATAAGAATTACTCGTTTAAAGGATAAGATAAGATATGTTCTTTCCGTCTTTAAAAATGTATAATATCAATTTATTTCAATACTAACAAACGCATTAAATGTTCAACGGAGGAGTTGGTTCAGGGGTGGGTGGCATTCATTCTACAGAATTCTGTAGTCAGATTTATCTAGAAACTGTTCTACACAGATGATAGATGTGATCGTACTTCGAGGTAACTCAAATATTTCGATGACAAAATGAAACAGTAAAATTTTAACAATATTTTGCATCAAATAATGAAGGATTAATATAAGGATATTAATGCAGTAAGGATTATTTATCAACTTTGAAATATGTTATTAAATGTGATACTCATATTATCTTTATTCATGTATATATGAGTGCATCTTAAGTACTGCTACGCTCCGTAACTGATGATTTCTTAAAACATTCTCATAATATTTTACGTTATTTGACACTTAGTTTTGCCCAACACTCGTGATTGTTTGGGTGATGAATCTTTTTATGTTTCGCTTTTAAGCGTTTACTTTTATATGAATTGATCATTGTGCAATGATTTCGTCGTGGGATATGTTATTAAGTCGTGTCTTGTTAATACTGGGGCAGATAAGTTATAGTTGGAACATAAATATTTATTGTCGGTATTATAGAAGTGGACCCCAATTAAATCCATACGATTTAGTTGGTAATTGGGTTACCGTTTATACACAACCTAAAGCGATTAAATGTTTTATGTTAAACATTATGGCTGTGACAGAACAAGTGAGTATTCCTATTCGTATAATTATAGGCCTCTGTATTAAAAAAATGTTTTCTATTTGACATCTTAAAGTTTTATTCGTAATGTTTATACTTCTAAAATAATATATTTAAAATTAAATGAAGTCATTTTTACTTATTGTTAGTTGCACACAGTTAAAATCAGTAATCGAATATACTAACAAATCGATGAAGTTTATGTAGGACTTAACTGGCAACTAAATTGAAAAAATTATGGAATTCGAACATGGACTTTCAAGTTCAAGGAACATGCCACTTTTTCACCAGATTGTGCGGCGTGTGCGTTTTTCCTTTACAACACCAAGGGACCAAACGCCCAATGCATAGAGAATGTAGTCACTACATTTACCCAACGTTGGCCCAACGATTTGTCAATAGAATTTTTAATCTTGTGAGTGTCACTTAAGACATGATAGTAATGAAAATGGTATGTGTGAAAAAAGTGATAACAAAATAGATAAAGGACAGGTCCCGTGACGTGTATTCGTATACAAACATGTGCAAAAGTACGTGTAAAACATACTCCGAAAATCATTGAATGTATCATAAATACAATATCTAATCCTATTTATCAGAATCAAGAAACTTTCAGTTTGATTTTAAGTATTTCTTTCAGCTGTTTATATTTATATTTTTCTGGCATTACAGGAACAACAGGAATTACGTTTCAGATATGGAAATTTTACTGGTATTGTTGACTGGAGCTCTTGCCACTTAGAGGTTGAATCTTCGTTCGGAAATCATTATTTCCAAGGCGACGGCAGTAACGCAGGAGTCCTCGAAAATATAATAATTTATAAATCTGATGATGGTAAGTGTTATAAATTGTAATGAATAAAGTATTTCTTTTTGCATTTCATAGGTTTGATTCTTGAACGCAGTTCGCCAATCCGCATTGAGATTGCGTCATATACCCTCTGTACAGAGTAGGCTTTTGCCCAGCAATGGATAATATTATATAGGGTGTTACTTTACTTTGTTTTGGTTTACTGAATGCAAGTTTGCGCATAAATAACTTTGGATTTTTTTACCAATTTATTATTTAATAAGTAAATTTTAACTATGGTTGGGACACGCAGCAACCTCGGCTGTTGCACGAATGGGCAGGCTCGTCCGGGTAAGTACCACGATCTCACAGAAGACCGGCGTAAGGTGGAAGTATAATAATTTCGCGTTTCGTCTGGTGAGTGAGGTAGCCGGAGCCCAATTTTCAAAAGGTTGTCACCGGTTCTGCAAACCCTCGGGTGTAGCAGATATCCATGGTCGGTGGTATTCACTTAACATCAGGTGAACCACCTGCTCGCTTGGCAACTACTTTTCACATAAAAAAAATATCGATAAAATTGTCTGTTTACAATTATAGTCTCAGGAGAGAGAGCTTTCCACTTTCTTTACATTTCGTTAGGTGAATTATTAATTAGGTTATCGGCGCATAACCCATATTACTTTCTGATATTGGCAACAGAGTAACCTAATGGGTGGTGTGGTTTGAGGGTGAGAATCACGAAGAATCAGAGTAGTCCAGTCGCAGTAGTAGTTAGACGTAGTAAAGAAATTGAAATATTACATTGGATTGCATTTAAACTTATGCCTTTTATTAAGAAACTTATTTTTTAGAGTGAATACATACAAGTTTAACTATGTACTTAAAATAAGCTCAATAATGCAGCGTCGCATGTACTGCAGTTGTTTTGTTGTCTTATTTTTGATGCAGCGAGCAGAGTTTTTGGCGCCATTTGTAGGTTATATCTAGTTCAGCGCCGGTCTATTTCACAGGGCAGTAGAGATGAGGCGTATATACTGGAACAGGTATAAATACCCAGTATGAACGTACCAGTATGCAGACCGGGTATGTACGGCAGAGGCCCGTTCCAGACCCGATAGGTATTGTCGATATCGCTCGCGAATACACGGACCTAGCGCCGCCTCGTTAGACGGTGGCGGTATTTCATAACGTTGGCGCTCGATCGCCTTTGGCATTTTATACCAAATAATTCCTTGAGATAAATTTATTCTTTAATTCTATGCAGTTAGGTAGATAAATAATTGCGTAATAAGCTTAAACAGTAATATTTATATTGAATTACTTTTTTTGGTAATAGGGTTCTTTACGTTCGTAAAGATGGAGCTTGTTTTAGACTGATTATATACATATATATATCTCAATTAAAAAAAAACTGATTGCTAAAAAAATATCTAAATTTTCCAACCAAAGGTTCAATTCGTTTGATTCGATCGAGTCTCCAAAAGGAGGCCTGAATATAACTAATACCTATAGGTATTTTGATACTAGTTTTTAGCACCGGGTATACGGCCTTGATACCACACCGGGTATGGTACCAGTACCTTTAGGTATTATATCTCATGCCTACAGGGCAGTACGTGCTGCAAGAGCGGAGTGCGGACCAGTGGACTATATATGGGGCGGAAGGCAACGAGCTATTGGTAATGCGCGACTGCGACGGGAAGGCGACTGCCGTGTTCGCCCGCGTCCCGTTCTGGCCCACGCCACACCAGCTCTACGCCATCTTGTACCGCAGCGGCGTCAAGCCGCGAACCCTACACCGGATCCCTTGTGAAACTAACGAAACGCATAATTAATAAAATAGAGAGTATTCATGAGGAGAGATTTTTATTATGTGTATTGCCATACAATTCTTATTACTATACTCATTACTTCAGATGACGATTGGTCGGCAAGGTCTAGTTGATTTTTTCTTTGTACCAGTTTAGCATTTGTGTAAAAGTATAATATTTCTTCTTCTGTGGGGCTGCTTTGAAGAGCGTGGTCGGAGAACAGCGGAAGTTGTTCCCTGGCCTTATAGTAATAGGTATTAATGGCCAGAGGAGATAACACATATTTAAAAAAAAACATCAGTTTCTTTTCTGATTCCGCTATTTTCATCTGTTCTTTTTCATTTAGGTAACAAGGACTCGATGGCGCAGTTGCTAATCTATTGGCTTGATGCCCAGACGGGACAAGTATTTGTGTGACCTACTGATAGTTGTTCCAGATCTGTTCGTTTGTTTTCCAAGGAGGGTTGACGTCAGACAGATGGCTGGTGGTAAAAACATAGCCAAAACCGCTTACAGCATGATTCACATTTTGTGCCGACCCCACCTAAGTGGGATTAGGGCACGAGGATGATGATGAACAAAATAAAAGAAATAACCGAGAGAATATTGTATATTTGTAACACTATATCGAAGAACTACTATAAGACAAAGTTGCCATTCATGATGGTGATATTACGCCAACGAACAAAAAATATATACGGGCGGTTTACCAAAATCTCTAGTTCAGGTACTTCGTCCCATTCGATTCCTATAAACAAGTAAAATATGTTAACTATACCCTAGTATCCTCTGTACAAAGGAGGCCTTTATCCAGCAGTGGGCTGTAATCTGATATAAAGGCTGTCACTTTAGATACTTTAGCTATTATTGCCGCTATGAGCGCAGTAAGCCACGCAACTCTTGTCCAGACTGAGAGACCCCATATTTGATTCATTATTTATGTCCACAGACCACTTGATTGTTTAGAAGTTTAGTATGACACCGAGCGCATGCGCACGTTATACAGCGTGTCGTTATAACCGCGACAATAAATGAACGCACATATGGAGAATAACTTTTTAAAATTGTATTTCACATTCTTCAAACATCATTCTTTAAACTTATTTTAATAAAAACACTTAAACTTTAAACATCAATATTTACCGAGTTATTAAATTTTCCGAAACAAACAATTTTAGAACACCCTTACGTATAAAACTCAAACTTAAAGTTCACTTGTAAAGGTCACAAAGCATATGAACGGGTTGAATGAATTTAAAAGAGAAACATACTGTCAGGAGAGATTTGTAATGCGACGTTGTTGCAACGAATGAAAAAGTCTCTAAATGTATGGATCAGTCAATTGTAGTTATGTAGTTTGTTTGAAAAATATTTTTTTTAATTATGGATTCTTTTTAACGTTTTTTATGATTATTGGTAGAGACGTGTGTTCATTTATTGTCGCGTTTGTAACGACACGCTGTATAACACAATATGGAGTGGATATTGACACCGATAGTGCATATGTTTTGTCCGTGTATCTGACACATTTGTAGTTCTCTTTTTATACATATATCCAAAGCTTATAGATGTTAGAATATATAAATTGATCTTCATTTATTTACTCTTATTATGTAAGATTTTAGAATATAAAAGGAGTTATTGAGTGATTATATAATTTGACATCCACAAGAAACAATTGTTAAATTGTTTTTTTTTGCAAGTATCGTGCACGCAACTGCAACGACAATTCGTTAAAAATGGTAATAAATTTGTAGTATTATTGTAATTGACGCGTACTTCTCATCTCATCAATATCATAGCTATAAAAACAACTAATTAAGATTGAACAAAAGTATCAAGAGGTGCGTTTGGTGAAAGTCGTACCGTCGTCTTTAAAAGCGTTTCGTCCTGCTTCCGCCCAAAACATCAAACGCTGAACGCCATGCGACAATCTTACGTCTTCGCATTGGCCAACATCGACTAATCGCGAGAAGCCCATCTAGAAATAAAACATGATTTCATTGAGTGAATCTAAAGAAATTAAAAAAAATTCATTGACGGCTAAAGAAAACTTCTTTGAGGTCTTTCGTCTTCTATTGTGAAGTATGTTTTTATCTGCACGAAACATGTGTTAAAAGAAGTTACATACAATGTTTTCACGTTTGATTGAAGTGACAACGATAACTTTTGGCCATAAAAGTGTTATACTTACTGATTGCAGCTTGCCGGGCAGCAAAAGCGTCATACGAAGTGTATACAGGGGAAGGGAGACGGCCACTCGAAGGGAGTACATTTTCTCAAGCACGCGGTGAATGCTTGTATCCGTTAGGTGATTTGATAGCTTCCGTAGCGATCGGCCCCGTGGTACAACCATTAGTAGCGATAATCCGGGGGTTGCGTAAAATATTTCTATCGCCTATAAAGTGAAATACTGCGGATGGCTTAATTTAGTAACTTATCAGTTAAGTATAAAAGTGTCATTTTATGAGATTGAATCTAAATAAGAAACATTATTCAAAGAAAAAAAAAACCCGAGAACGTAAAAGCAATGTAAATGTACTTTGGATTCCCCGACGTTTCGATCGTTATGGGGATAGATAGACTGAGCAGTTTCACATCCTAATTCCTTAGTTAATCAGGGCTACTAGTCAAGTTGATAGTTATTATTTAGTTTTTTCCGGTCTTCGCGTAAATTTAGTTTGTTCCAGCTACGTGGAACAAATCAAACTTCAAATTCTCGAAAACCATAAAGAATGATACCCTAAGCTATTGAGATAAAAAAATGCATCCTAATGTAAGCAGGTGTTAAAACAAGCTTGAAATCCAGTAATTTACAAAATTAAATCTAAAAACCTTTAGATTCTGTAATTTTTATGAGTAAAATCAATTTATTCTTTTTATTCCTATGTAAACACATATTTTTACATAATTCATATCACCTACACAAAAACACGATCAAAAACGTCCGTCCATATATTTATTTGATTATAGTTATAAAATGAGTGACCCTAACTATTGAGGTTAATGTAACATCTGGCAGTAGATAACGGGGTATGCAATTTCACGTACAATGCCTATCGTGGGGGGCGTTATAATGCTGTATACTGTATCAAGTTTTCAGATGGCGAAAGCGTGAAATGTTTCATTCAGGTTTCGCTAACGTTAAAGTGACCATGTTTCAATTCGGCACATATTTCATTTTAGTAAGCTATGGGGTATTCAGCGTCGATGCATACACCTGTCCGCCCGAGAGGGAGATAACTTTAAACGATGAAGCGAGACTCCACAAGGATTTGCTATGCGCGTACGACGTCGACGATCGTCCGGTCCAGGACTACAAGAGTCCCGTTACCGTCAAAGTGAGAATAGCCCTCAAATACATAAGCTTCGACTCGTTAGAGGAGACGTTCACGATGCACAGCTGGATGGCGCTATCGTGGAAGGACGAGTACTTGAAGTGGGTGCCGACAGACTACGGCGGAATCAAGGAGATCCAGATCGAGAGCCACGAGGTGTGGACGCCCCGTTTGGCGTTGTTCAACGCAGACGCTTCGTTGTACCCGTCGGACTCTTTCTACACGATTTGCCTGCTTAGCAGCGACGGCACGGTGACCTGCGTGCCACCGGTGGCGCATACGGGCATCTGTCGCACTTCCTTGCGTCGATGGCCGTACGACACGCAAAACTGCACGCTATTCTTCGGATCGTGGATGCACACGGGTGAGCAGGTCAACTTCACGTTCTACCGAAAGCAGCCCGTCGTGTTGGACGACTACCAAAACGGGCCCGGGTGGCGTTTGATGCATGTGCAGAACGAACGCCTGCCGGGAAAGTACAGCTGTTGCCCGAACACCACTTACCCCATGTTGAAATACACGTTCGTGATGAAGAGGGAGGCGGGCGGGCCGGCCGCCATTGTTGTGGTGCCGTCAATCGCGATCGTTATACTGACGCTGACCTCCCTGGTCTTGGACGTGAGAGATAACACGAGGCTGTTCATGATATGTTTCAGTCTGTTCGGCCACTTCACATTTCTCAGTGAAATAGGCTACGACATACCAAAGCATAGCTCGGACACGCCGATAATATTGTTGTTCGTCCGCGACTCGATGGTTGTGACCCTCGCCGCTATAGTGGTTACGTTGTTTCTAATGTCGCTGCGGAGGCGTACGGTGTCTCCGCCCACGTGGATAGTGTCAGTCAACCGTCTGGCGAGCAGCGGCCCCGGGAAGTACGTGGTGTTCACCGAATTCGACCCGAGCGGAGTTACCGAGGCCAAATCGCTCTCGGAGGAAGGGGACGCATCAAACGAAACCGGGGAGAAGGCACGAGCAGCGACCGACTGGATTCAATTTGCAAACCTACTCAACAGCGTCGTATTCATCATTTCAGTCATCGTTTACCTAGTCTTGATAATCGCGTACATACCTCATGATTATTAAGCCAATATTCAAATAATATATGCATCAAGTTTAATCCGCCCTAAATGGTGGATCAAATTTTTTCCAAGTCATTGTAAAATTTGTGGATTAATAATAAAGTCATGCTACATGAAAAGCTCCCGTACTCACTTCGGCGTCCCATTCGTTCAGTTCAGTATACCGCATAATGTCATTAATCCGTATCATTCGTGTGAGCCTTGGCGGGGCGTCGTCCGCGTCAAGGAAGGCGTGGGTACCGTTGAGCACTGTCGGGGCGGAGCGCCAGCGCGGACGGACGTACATGGTCTCGAGCAGTATTGCACAGAGGCCATCAGAAAGTTCATCCTCTTCGAAAGTATCACGCATCGCTCCGCCAGAGTCTGTTTCAATCTATATGAAGAAACATTTAAGCTAGTAATGGAGAAACTACCTACTCAACAATAGAATCGACGATCTCTTCAATATCCAGAAATAAAAACAAACTTTTTTCCAAAAAAAATTGCCATTCCATTCCTTAAAAACAGAATTTGTTGAAAATGCGGTAGTCATTCGTAAATTCATAAATGCGTCGTATACTTTTGTAACGAACTTTTGTGCGTGTTATTTATAAGTGATCGCGCGTAAAATAAATGGGTTGCCCATAAATCACACACTTTTTGAGTTAAGTTCAAATAAATGTATTTAATTAATTAAGAGTGATTTTAAATATTTATCATTTTTTGTTTAACATTATTTGTTTAGAATTTAATTAAAAAAATGGATACACTTAGAAAAGCCTCTCTGTATAGCTCAGTGTCCGGGTGTCCCTATTTAATTCGATATACACAAGCAAACAGTTCAAATACCGGTGCTGTAAAATTGTTAACTGCAATACTAAGTTCTGACTTATCACGTCCTCAGCGGTAAAGGGAAACAGTGAGGAAACTTGCATATTTTACTTTCTGTACAGAGGAGGCTTTGCCCAACATTGAAACATGTATAAGCTGTTACTTTACTTGGTTGTTAATTATAACCTGTACTTATTTCCTGTATATTAAAAATAAAAAGTGTCGTCGACAATATCTCAGCCGAAAAATAATCTTCCTTTTTATGTATTTTTTCCATTTCCCTTACTTTAGGATAACATTATCCTGTGTTGTAAGGACGTTTTATATCCATAAATTTCACGCGGAAAACACAAATAGTTCTCCTATGTGGGAATCGAACCCACGACCCCCGACGCCGAAGCCAATACCTTGGCAACTGCGCCACGGAATCATCCAAGGTAGGAGTCACCTAGGTACCTAAAAGATTTTTCTTAATTATTTGGTATCAACGTGAATCATAGTTAATGCTTGATTGATTTGGAATTGAGTAAGTAAAATTCTTTTGGTTAAAGAAGCCAAAAGTAGAACGACGTAAGGGCACTTTATAATTTATTTGAATATTGAGTCTAGGGTAGACCTTTATATCGCACCATTTTATTGAGGGCTGCGGTCAATTCTTGAGCAGAGTCGGTCGTGTTGATACGATCGATGTGTAGTTGTAAAACGGTCGCCATGCCATGCTGGAAAACCGGCTTTATTTGCTGACTATCACCCAAAATAAGCCGAGACGATAAACGAAATTTGAGCGCGTCATCAGACTTGGGTAGTGATGAAACGATTTCCTTTAGTACGTAAATTTTCTCCTGAAAGAAGATAAATTGGGCCCCGGTTACCTCACTCACCAGATGGAATACAGAAGTATAACATGTTCACTTCACTCCGGTCTTCTGTGCGGACGTGGTACTTCCCCGGAAAGACCTGCCCCTTCCTGCAACATCCTGCAACATCCTGCAACAGACTGTTGCGTAGCCTTACCACGGCTAAACTTATTTATATTTAAAACTAGCTGACCCGCCAAACGTTACTTTGCCATATGAATTATTTCTAGGGAATTTGTTCATCTGAAAACATAGAAAAAGAATTTTCAGAACGCACGAATAAAATGAAATGTTTGACAGGTAGGAACAGACAGTTTGTATGGGAAAACAAAATTGTTGCTGTTTCAATTTTCCATACAATTTTTCCATAATTTCTCATCGTTTAAACCTTCCCTGGACGCCACAAATATTTCAAAACCAGTTGTACTCGAGTTTTAGCGATACTAACGAACAGCAATCCATTATAAGAAGATATATAAATATAGAAGATTATTTATTCGAATGACATTCATAACGTGTAATGTGTATATAACGTTTTATTAGTATTAAAAGTATAACATGTGATTATCAATAAAGTTACTTACGGCGAAAATATCCAAGTGCGGGAGGACGGTACTATCAATTTAAGCTTCGGAGTTCGAAACACAGTGGCATGCATTAACATGTTTTTGTGTAACTATGGAAAAAATAAAAAAATCGTTTACCATATGGGTGAGGTGAAGATTAATGCACTCTTCAATCTGATTATCCATGTCATTGTCAACTTCAGAAGACAACGCCAACAAAGCTAACTGCAGAAATAATCCTGATTGGACGAAACTTATCCCGTTCTCTCTTCGGCCCGCTGAACTTATTGATGACAATTTTCTAAAAGTAACCTAAAACGTGTTCAGTTTAAGAATTTTTATAAAGTATACTCAACACTAGTTAAAACTGAGATGCATTAGCGCGTTCTATAATATGTAAGCGGGTCGTCATTTTATTACTCTTTAGGTTCGTTTAAATAATGATTCAACTTTTAGAAGCAACCATACGGTATAGTTTATTGAACTATTCTTAATTCAATGCATAACTAATGACTGTACTGAATTTAAATGTGAGAAGTACCGTTGAACTTACTGTTCTTTTGCTGGTAATACCCGGCTTAAATTAAAGCTTCATTAATACTTTAAAACGTAGTTATGTTTAAAAGTTTTGCCTTCAATTGTATTAACGGCAAAGACTTTTAATATCAATAATTACATTCAAATAAGAATTAACCGAATCTATACGTATTTTCACGTTGTAATAAACCTATAATTATTTCTTTATTTTAAATGAAGTATCCGAACACTCGGAAGTATAACGCTTCCACTTCAAGCAGGTCTTCTGTGAGGTCATGGTACATCCCCGAACGAGGCTAACTATTTGCTAATCAAAAAGTCAATATATTAAATAGAACTGATAGTTTTTGATAAAAGTTATTAAATATCCAGCATTTATATATGACCTATTACATAAAGACTACTAATCATAATATTATAAATAGTTAAAAATGAAAAGTTTAAATAGACCATCTGATTACTATCGCTTAAAATGCAATCTATATATATGTGTGTGTGTGTATAGCTTACCTTATAAAAATTTCTTTCGAATTCATCAAGCGATTGCATGAACTTGACCATTACCTCATAATTGTTGTACATATTGGAACTCCATTGTTCGTACGGTACGTAAGGTGCCATGACAGGCCTAGAAGTAATTGCAGTTTGACCGTTCATGTGGATTGGTGGGGTCATTGTGATCGGAGAAGTAGTTCTTCTTGTATTTGGATACCAAGAGGAGCTTTTAGTCAGGATGGTGAATTTATTAACAGGATTTCTTATGATTGAGTAGATTGAAGGATTATTAATAGACTGAAGTAGATAATTACTTTTGTTAGGCGGTCCATTAAGAGTTTGCATAGCAAATGAGGAATGAGGTAATGCCATATTAGTTATAATCGAATTGATGTTATTCGATAAATTCTGTACCACGGCGTGTGAATTTCCAGTTGGTCTTAATTTCTCTTCGTTTAATTTTCCATATATGATGGTTGGTATCCTCGATCTTTTCAAATGTTTTTTGGAGTCCAATGCCCGCGTGACTATGTTATGATCCATTACGAAATGTCTCTTTCTTCTTTTATGTGAAAACTTAATAGAAGTAGGCAATAAAGACTGCCGATAGGGCACAATTAAACAATCAGGTACGACAGTATGCAACATTGTCGTTGCTGGAGGCACAGTTACTGTCGAATATATGGCTAATTCAGTTAAAAGAAAACTGTTTATATTAAAACTGAATACACTTTCACAAGAACAACATAAAATAATCGCAAAAAGTGTAATACCGACCAAAGTCATGCCTGATCTGGTGTAATCAATTTTTACAGCTATCCATTAGTTTTGGTCAAAGAATATTCGATGGAATGTGGGTATACAATTCTAAACACATAATGTAACATATACAATAAATGTCATGAAACGATTGCTATTTGTCCTTATTAATCACGGGACTGGATGCTTCAAGATTCAAAATATTACTGCATTCGGTCACGTTAAACGGGTGTAGAGAATTGCGTTCTGTTCCGCACATTCATAAGTAGCTACTCAGAGCTGAATTAATGAGACCTAATTAATCTGCTTCATTGTAGCGATAACGGCTGCAATTTGAAAAAGTATGCACAACGAGATTTTGAATCCTATCTAAAATATTTATTATTATTAGAATATTCTATTAATTTAGTTTAGTAAACAACAAATTTCTCCATGTAATTACTTACATCAGTAATCCAAGATGATAAATCTGTAAAATTTAATTAGAGCAAAAAAAATAGGTTTCGAAACTCTAATACACTTTAGTCTCATTGGTTCGTTACAAGTTCACGATTCCAACTCAATTTCATATGCATGTTAGTACGAAAATTAATACAAAATGAGAAACCCGTCACGTAGGGCTACTAAGGAAATCATGAAAATTGAAAGGTATGCCAGATTATTATTAAATCTTGAACATAAATGTTCAATACAAATATCTAGTTTAACGTTTAAGTACAATTATGTAATAATTCTTATATTAAATTACATTACGGCGAATTCCTTATCGTTGGAAATTAGGCTAAAGTAAAATGAAAAAAAAAAAAAACAAATTAATAATAAAAAAGAGGGCATTAATTAATACTAAACGATCTCCGACTGACACACAAACAACCGAAAATTAATGATCACGAAATTCCCATTCTCACTGAAAAAAAATTCGTTAACGAGTTGTTTAAAAAGGGCACATCTAGTACAATCTTTGTGACTTAACTATTAGCGGAATCATAAACACTAATAAATAAGATTTTCTTATCGCACTAATAATATGGGTATACTCAAATTTATATGTAACTACTATTGGACGCAAAACGGTTTGAATTTTTAGAGAGGATACTTTTTACTTTTAGATTAACACATTTATATTGTTTTTACTTGATTTTGATCTGAACCTTGTGGGCGGAGCTGTGGGTAAATCCTAGTGTTACTTATACATAATTAAATGCTTAAGGATATTAATTGATTACACATATTTATGGTTTAATAGTTGTAATTTACATCACTACATAGTATAAAAAAAAGTTGTGTGTCCTTATATGTATGCTTAGATCTGTAAAAATACGCAACGGATATTGATGCGGTTTTTTACTAGATAGAGTGATTCAAGAGGAAAGTTTATATGTATAATACATTGCACCCGTGCGAAGCCCATTGGGCCCCGTTTCGTCACTCAGTAGACGAAAGTACAAGTACGTAGGAGTTTTAATTCGATCTTTTGTAAGGACGTGTTACACGAGTACACATTCGTATACACGAGTAACTAGTGTATACGAATAGACAAGCATATCCGACATCAAAAGCTTCTGCCTTCTTCTACCACAATAGTGGGGACTACCACTGGTGTGTAATAGGTAGGTACTCCTCCATTCTGGCAAGGAGGCAAAATTTTTTTTGTTGCTTTAACTCTGATTGATCTGCACATAATAAATAATAAAGTAATAAGCTCTGTACTTTCTCCATAAAAGTACCTCATGTAATGACGATAAATATGCATCAGGGGCAGTGCAACTTCTTTCTCAAGATGCACACAAAAAGTTTCATTTACCCTTAAATAAGTTGGATTACTTTTAGTTTTTTTACAAGCTACACTTATTTAGTGTGTACATATATTGTTTGCCGGTAAAGTAATAATAATCCGAAGATAGAAAATAGAAGATATCATAGTTCGGCGTATTCATAGCCGCCTTGACGGCGAATGCCTAATATGGAATGGAATATGTTTCTTTGTTATTTAAAAAGCGAAATGGAAGTATTCCACGTAACACCCATCACAAGTGGAATTTAACAAAATGATATAAGTAATAGTTGACCGCTATACCACTGTTATACACATGTGCGGATCTATCATTGTAAGGTATCTGATAGGACCGGCATCGAATGACGGGGTACGCCCATTTGTGTAATAGAATTGACTCTCATTTGCCTCATATTTTTTTACTTTACAATGAATCGATTATAATGCAATGAATCATTATGTGTTGTGATCACATCGAAAGTCTGTAGAATGCCATGTATGCTTAATCTTGTCACATTGTTATGCAAAGCCTGCGTACGACCTTTTATTAAGATCCGAGATCTCAGTCTCGGTCTCCGTTCCAATTGTTCGGCCGATTTGCCGGTTGCGTTCCCGTAAAAAGGCCGAGAAAGTCGGCAATGGCTTATTTATAATCGGCAGTAAATTACTTTTAACCACCAACAAGCATTGCTAGTATTATATTGCTACATATTTAGTAGAGCTTAACAGTTATACGAAGAAAGACAGTGCTGAGAAATTACTTTTCCTAAGTTATAAGAAAAAAAGAACTATTTTTAGGGTTCCGCACCCGAAGGATAAAACGGAACCACATTACTAAGACTTCGCTGTCTGTCTGTCTGTCACTATGTCTACAATAGATGAACTCTTAGAAATGTAATTTATAATGCCAGTCTCCCAACTGATGGAAATGTGTAAATACTCGTAAAACTGAGGCAAAACTTTTCATCGCTGCACCTTCCGGATTAAGCATTCAGACGCTCAAGCCACTTTTTTTCTGAATAATTCTTTTCTATACATTTATACTTAACTAGCTGGCCCGCGCAACTTCGTCTGCGCCAAATCTACCGGGTCCATATGTTTCGACTTTTAACATAACGCCATCCAATGAATATTTACTCAATCCAGCCGATAAATTTAGCCTTACACCGCCATTTGTTAAAATCTTGTGGAACTCACAGATAAATATAACTCTTTGTCATCTAATAAACAAATAATCTGCAATAAAATAATATTGGGACTATAAATTGAGATGTAAGCTAAGCGATCCTATCTTTCAAGTTGGATCACACTGCACACGGTGCGCAAATTTGATTAAAGTCGTTTTAGTAGTTTAGGAGTCCATCGCGGACAACAAACGTGACACGTAATTTGTTTAATAATAATTTGTATGCATAAACGAAGTTGTAACCCGACTTACGCAAATTGCACCTATCAGGGTTTCACAGTAGATGTTTCTAATAAAAGGCATTTTGCTCACTCACTAGACGAAAATCAAAAGTACATACTTGTACACCGGTTTCGTGAGGCCGGGTACTTCTCCGCACGAGTCTACAGCAGGGAGAAACGAACATATTACGTACCCACATAAAATACATCACATTCATGGGCCGTCTGCTCAAGTTTAGGTCACATATGTACATAATTAATTACTATCTAAGTTAAAAATGATATAAAGAACTTACATAAAAATTAATTATTGGTGACATCGCAACTAGAGCTAATGTTGTCTTGTATCTTGTATTAACTGATGTTTTTGCTTTCAGTCCCGAGACTATTAAAGCTTCATCGGACGCAGAACCGGTGGGCTAGCCAGAACCCACGGGTTTGGACCCTCCGCTATGGGTAGGGTCGCGCATGTGCTCATGCGTGCGTTTAATTATGGTATGTCATCTAAGGTCTATATATGGGCCATCGAGGTCGCGGTTCGGACCGAGACCCCGACGGCCGTCGACTGTGCATTTAGCTAATCGGTGGCTGGGAGCGGTGAGAACCGCCCCGGAACGCGGGTGTACCTTGTGTACGCGTTGTGTGGGTCTCGCCGTGCTCGGAGGCGAGGGCGAACTGGTGTGATTGTTGTTACACTAACTGTGGGTGTAGTGTTATCCGGCGGGACCCCCGGCGGTGGGTCCATCGTATCTAAGTCCTCTTCGTCGACCGGGTCGATGAGGACGTTTCGCGGGCGACGCTTGTTTACGTTCGCGTTAGTGTCCGGTTGGTAGTTTGCTGCGCTTACCACCAGAGGGTTGGGATGATGCTGGACTCTATCGAAGAACCGTTTTGTCAAATCTTTAAAATGTGCGCGAATCGTCGGGAGTCTGCAATCGCTGTGCAGGTCGACGTTGCGCTGATACCACTGCGCACCGGTTGCGCGGCGGATAAACTTATTTTGTACTATTTGCAACTTGTACAAGCGAGTAGGGTGCGTATGGGCGAAGATCATGCATGCGTAGGACATAATAGGTCGTACGCAGGTCTTATATAATAATAATTTGTGCCTTAAGGGCATTTTACTTTTAGCGTTAGTTAAATTGTGTAGCCGGCCGGAGACGAACGCGGCTCTATTACGAACGTTATTAATGTGCGTAGTACATTTACTATAATTAATTATTAAATATGTCATTACATA